ACTTTGTGTGGGTGATGTATGCCTCTGCCTCTTCCCGTGTGCCATCCATTCCAGCCATATTCTTCTTGTGATCCAGCCTTCTGCTACACACCTTCCCATCTGCAGGCTTGCCCTTAAATCAAACTGACTTTTCAGAAAATGTAATTTATTTTAATGACTAATTTCAAGTCATTGGCTTCTAATTCTTGATTCTCAAATATATATGACTTCCTCTTGCTCTCTGCAGTTTTCCATTTCATAAAGTGAGTCATGTTTAATAACCTATATGATTAAAAATGAAACTACATGGGAAGGAACGAGAGGGCAGAAAAAGCAGTGTCTGACCAAATGTCTGTTATTTTGAGGGAAGTTTCCAGGAAGGATGATAAAGTGAGACTGTCTAACCATGAGATGGTAAATAACTAGCATATCTTTATTTTTCAAGGGATCACCAGTCTGCTTGCCAATGGAGTTTACAGTGCTGCATATCCTTTGCATGACGTAAGTGATCTTGGAATATTTTTCACATGTTTATTGTCTGACACCAAGAAATCCTTAATGTGTCACATATTCATGGCATCATCCCAAACATGGATGTTTGAATCTTGACTCTTTACTCACTCATGTCACGACTGCAGTAACTTCTGCAGGTTGTTCCCATAACTCGGGTCACTTCCAATGAATTCCCCACCTCTGTTCTACCTTTGATGATTCAAACAAGCGATGTTTGAATGAAATGTTAGAGGAGTTGTTTCTGTGGCTTAGCAAACAAAATGCTTTTCTTATTTCCTGAGCTTTTGCTCATGAGATCCCTGGCACCAGTGCTAGGAAACATATTTACTCCTGGGGCACTAGGTGGTTGGTTCTCATCCACATCTCCCTGCATCCCCCTTGCAAGTACAGAGGTGTCAGTGACTGGGTATCTGTGCCATTGATTGCCACTGGAGATAAAACCATTAGCAAGAATTTGAACTGACATAGTCCATGGAACTGGATGAGACTGCAGACCTTCTTACTGATGAAATCTGCTTCTGAGCAGTTCAGTCAGGTGTCAGAGTATGTTCAACTAGAGCATTCATTGAGAGGTTTAGAGAGAGGTGGGGAATTCTGGTGGTACTCATACCCAAGCTGGGGCTCCCATCCTGCCAGAGGTGCACGGCATTGGGATCCTGATAACATTTTTACTTATAGCTTAAAGCATGACTAGAACTCACACACACACACACACACACACACACGTTCTTAGAAAGACCCTTACAGAAGGGCTTGAAGTGTGGCCAGTGGGGGCAGGGAGGTGAATCTGCCCCTCTGCTCTGGTGAGATCCCACCTGGAGCACTGTGTACAGTTCTGGGGCCCTCAGCACAAGAAAGATATGGACCTGTTTGAGAGGGTCCAGAGAAGGGCCACCAAGATGATCAAAGGGCTGGAGCAGCTCTGGTATGAAGAAGAGGTTGAGAGAGTTGGGGCTGTTCAGCCTGGAGAAGAGAAGGCTCCAGGGAGACCTTAGAGCACCTTCCAGTGCTTCCAGGGATTGGAACTAGATGATCTTCGAGGTCCCTTCCAACCTTAATGATTCTGTGATTCTGTGACAGATGTCGTGGGGATGTGGCAGTCATGTTGCTCACCATGTCCTGCCTGTGTCAGCCTACAAGGGCTGTTGAGCCTGGTGCTGATTTTCCAGCATGGGATGTGAAGATGAAGTGTGTCTTCCTAGTTTTCTGCTCCCCTCACTCGCACTGCTTTTACATGGCACCTTAGTGTAACTGAGACCAGAACAGCCTCTTTATCTGCCTGATGTTTATCATGCATGTCAGGCAGTCTTAATACAGTGATACCACTGAGAAATCCAGAAGGGTTAAATAAACTGCTCTGCTTGTCCTTGTCTCATGTCTTTAGACAGCTACTGATAGTCTTGTATATAAGTTATTTATTGTCTTCCTTTACTCCTTTATCATATTTTAAAATAGCTCCAAATTAATACCTCAAATCTAATCAGCCCTGAGTGTTTGGAGAGTCTGGATAGGGATCAGCTTTCTCAGCTGGTCTCTTCTCTTTCAAGTGGACTGAGCTGAACCCCAAATACCATGGCAATACCACATCCTTTCCCTTGACATTTTCAGGCCACCTTTATCACTTATTCATTCCTCTTACCCCAGTGACAGACACTATTACTCTTTCTTAATGCGCCTGACGACAGAAGACAAAGTGTGCTGTGACAAATGAACTCCTAAAATACAGCATTATTTTACAGATTGCTTTTTCTGTTTTTGATGCATTAAGTGAGTGGGATCCATGGGTATGCAAGATGCATCGTGGCTCTGGGCAGGACACGCTCACTGACGCAGATCTTCTTTTTTTACAGGGTGACTATGAAGGGGAAAACGTTGAACCTAATGACAGAAAAGTAAGTTGATATGAAGGGGGTTTCACATATTCACAAGGGTCCCAGCCTGAAGGGGTCATCTCTGGGAATCTGAACATTTGGCAGGATTTCATAGAAAACATCACAAAAAGGCACTAAATACAAAGCAGTGGAAGGACAAAAGTATTTTCCAGTGCTTAAATTTGCCCCAGTGTGGAACATGGTATGGATATGTATAAATTACTGTGCTCAATAAGGACACGTTTCTTGCCATGTTGGTAAGACTATTTACACCATTAACATGTAACTCCTCATAATAAAGTTCAGATGATGTAATTTCAGGCCAGCTCTGATGAGCTGGTACCCATAAATCCTGCTTTGCTCAGTGGCAACCTCTGGTCTCAGCACTGCAACATCTGCTGAATTAATGTGCTGCTGATCTGGAGTGTGAGGATCAGAACTGGGGCTGGGGAGGGAGGAGGCAGTTGAAAACCTAAGCATAAAAGTTACTGGGAGAGGTAAAGACTGAATATTTATAAAAATGAGATGCTCTCAGCAAAGCTTTAATGTGTGCTGTTCAGCCAGAAGCTGCCCTGTGGATGTAAACTGATGTGTTGCATCACTTTCAGCATCAGTCTGGTTTAAATTGTGGTTTTATTGCTTGTATACTGAAAGGTATATGTTCATTGTAGTAAAACAAGTAGGAATTATACAAAAAAAATACTTCTCATAGGAAAAAGCAGGTTTTTTTTTACTCTTTGCAGAAATTTTGATTTCTTAAATTCCAAGTGCAATTACTACATACTCCTGATCACACTTCTCTAGAGAAGACAGACTTTTATTTCCATGTATCAGACAGAAACTGAAGTAGAGAAGTTGCAACCAGTTCTCTCAGGAAGAGCTATTACATTTGGGTCCCACATCTCCTGGGCTTCAGACTTGAAACTTTGCCTCTCCAGTTTGTTTCAGGGGTGTGTCTACAAAGAAGTTCTGTGGATCAGCATGGGCTCAGGTTGTGGGAAAAGCAGATCCAAAGATAAAATTGTATAACAATTGTATAAAAATAGGTACCCAGAATTAAAGGTCTGCTAGGCCTTAATGCAAATGGGTCATCAAAAGACAGCAACTGTTACTTCTTCTCCTCTACTGATTTGTCTTCAAAATACCACATACCTGCCATTTGGCTATTAAGCAACTCATTGCTCAGCCAAAAATAGGATGAAAATCCTGTTCTCTTAAGTGTCTGGATTGTCATCTTTATTATGAACTTTTCAAGCCTCACAAATACACTCATTTCACAAGTTTGCTGCATGTTTGGATATATTTACCTTGGCTTTTGATATCCAGCTCCATCAGATAATATTTTGGTGTGTTTTGGCTCATCTCTTCTGGTTTCTTGGCGCTTTCTTTAATCTAATCCAGTGCTAGGCCAGGCTTGTGCCTTTTTTAACTGCAAAATTAAAGATTTGAGGCAGAGAAATGAAGTAAATATTTAGGGTTATTGCACTGATCTCCTCTAATCATTGTCTTTGAAGCTGTGCTTTGAGTATGAGGCTGATAAATGTCAGGATAAATGGGATAATTCACTTGTACTTTAGGCACAAATTTGGTTTGAAGTGCTGTACAAAACTGAAAACATGGCACCGATGCAAAATCTTCCCAGCTTAGTACTTTCCTGATACGCCTGACCAGCTTAGATCACTGGAAAGGAATCTAATTTCCAGCACAAGCTTAGCTTGTAAAAATGAAGTTAAAAGAATAATAAAAGGAAGGGTCTTAGCTAATACACATGGATGTCGAGGTGTCCCGAGTCATTAATTGTTTCCCAGACATAAGTAACTGGCCTTAAACTATTGGAAACATGGCTGAAGGAAATCTAAAGCAGAATAAAAATAAATTTTGTGAGAATGTTGCTGTCTAATAAAGGCCTGCCTCTAGGTTTCAGTTTCTGCTCATACTCTTGGAAGGAAACTAATAAAGATTAATGGGCTTGAGTTGCAGAGGGGAAAATCCACAGTCCGGTTGTATTTTTGACATCGTATTTCTGTAAAAGTCAAGAATTTGTATTTCTTGAATGACTTGAACCATTTGCCCAAAAAGTTCAGCTTGGAAAGTCTGTGTTAAGGATTTGGCAGGAGAATTGCAGAAGTGCTTTAGACCCGTTGTTGGCTGTGGGACTTCTCTGTGATAAACTGTGAGAAGTAGGACTGGGCACGGGCAGGAGCGGGACGGCCAGTCTGGCCACCCGTGTTTGCTGTGTTCCACGGGAGGGATGTAGGAGGCTGACATCTGTCAAGTTTTTCATGATGAAATAGCCTGCAGATTTAAGCAGTAACATCCTGTTTGGTCTGTTCTTCCATGAATAAGATTAACAGCATTGCCCTCCCTGTAACAATAACTGGTTTAGGTCTTGGTTCCCTGTTGAGTTCCTTCCACAGCGGAGGTGGTTGTGCAGCCCTCACCCACCCATGGTGGTTTGTGTAACTGAGCTCTGAAATTGTCTGCTTTTTTTGGCTTTTTTTTTACTCCATGTTTGATGAAAAGAAATGCCTGAGCAGCAATCAGGTCATGTTTTAACTTTTGAGAGAGCAGCAGAGGAGGGAAAAGGAAAAAGATTGTGATATCACCAAATGAATTAATGAAAGCACAAGTGAACATCAAAGCATCTCCTTGAAATATCAGCCCTTGGACCAGGAACATTCTGCTACCAAGTTCATGTCACTGGGTTGGAGCAGGGAGAGAAGTAATAAAAGGAGGCATAAACCAGATGCAAAGCTTCTCTTCCCCTTGTCCCACAGAGGAGGTGATGGCTGGGTGGCCAGCAAACACGCTTTGTCTTCTCTGGTGTATTTTGTACACACACTGATTTCTTGTTTACTCTTTTAGCTGAGCTGAATTAAGAACGAAATCAGATCTGAGAGGAGCTATTTATATGTTTTACAAAGTAAAGGATAAGTTGAAGGTCTCAGAGGAACCTATTTTTGTGAGGGATTCAATTTTCTAAATCTCTAATGGGAATAATTGTTTTCCTTGGCCCGTATCCTAACCAAAAGGATGAGTGGAAATCATCGTGTTCTTTTAGTTTAAAGCTGAAAAGCTCTTCAATGCAGCCTCTGAGGAAACTCTGCACAGCTTCTCTAGATGGATGCTGAATATTCTAGTTTGCATGGTGAAAACAAACTGGTTTACTCTTAGGGGTTTTTTCTCTCTTGTAACTCAAAGCATATTTATCTTTCACATCCGTTCTGCTAGATACTTGCTACAGATCATAAAATCAGACTACTCTCCCTGTCTCTGCTATGGTTATCCATCAGCTCGGTTGCTGAAGAGCCTTTTAATGTACTGGAATTAATCACTGTATTACAACATGTCAAATAATCAAATTTGGTTTTAATACTTAATGCAGCCTGCATGTATTGGCAGATGATGGGTTGAAACCACAAAGTAGTGAGACCGGATCCACAGTGTGAGCTCTGCAGGTTGTTGGGACCAAAGGAGAAGAATGCTGGTGTACATGGTGCTTTAGCTTTTGCCTTTGTGTTTTCCAGCTCCTGTGTGAGGAGTGGGCAAGCTATGGAGTCTTCTACAAATACCAGCCCATCGACCTGGTGAGGTGAGAGCTCATGCCTTAACATCTGTACACAGTGATGCTGGTGCAGGTGTCCCTGAGGGGATGCTGCCCTTGGGTGCCACCCCAGTGGGCTCCAGAGAATGGAAAATTTATTGGGAGGGGTTTCCTGTGGGTTTAGAAATGCCCTGATGTGTCCTACCTTGTGTGAAAACTTTTGGAGGACATGTTTTTAATGATTCTTCTTTGCTCTTGTTGAGACTCTGGAGAAAACGAAGCGCTTTTTCAAAACTATCAGTTCAAAGAAGATTCACAGATACCAATTTCTACAGCAGAAACACAGAGGGCAAAATAATGACTAGTTGGATTGACTGGTTTTCATGGTGCCTGTATCTCTGGATTAACTCCAAGCACCATGAGAAAGAGAGTCCTCTGAGAAGAAAAAAATTCCCACAGGCCATCAGCTCTTACTTTCTCCATGCTTAATCCAGCTGCGGTTTGTAATTTTAGCCGTGTTATATTAAGAAATAGGAAACATTTCTCTCTCACACTTCTTTTTTTGAAAATGTATTTCAGAAAATACTTTGGAGAGAAGATTGGACTGTATTTTGCCTGGCTGGGAGTTTATACACAAATGCTTATTCCAGCTTCAATTGTCGGGATTATCGTTTTCCTATACGGCTGTGCAACTGTGGATGAGAATATACCAAGGTGAAATAAAGGGATAAATAGATTCTATTGGTAGAAGCCACTAGAAACTCAAAGTAAAACATTGCCTTTCTCTAGAAATTTTTTGTCACTAATATCTAAGGTGAACACCTCTGAAACTCTGCCTCCCAGTTTCTAGGGGTTGCCCTGTGTCACCCGTAGCCACACACCCTAATAATCCGTGTTCGCTGGCTGTGGCTTCCCCAGCTCTGGCTAGTGCTCTTGCCAGAGTACAAGATGCTACCACCTCTTGTCCTCTTCCATAATTTGGAACCTGTGCGTCAAATGAAGCCACCTCTGCATGGATGGAGGAGTTTGCAGCACCACCAACCAGCATGACCCAGGGCTGTGAGTGGGCAGCAGAACCACAGCATGTTTCTAAATCCTTAGCATTTGTTAATATTACTTGTGGAGTTTGCACTGATGTACTAAAAATAGTTCTTGGCCAGTTGCTCAGGTGTCTTTGGCTTTTTTTCCTTTTCCTTTTTTCCTAACTCAGATCATTATGTCAAAGCAAACCAAGAAAATAATGCTAATGACAGGGTTTAGTGCTTCCCATCATCAAATGCTGAGGAGGGCATTGTGTGACATAAAGATGAATCAAGAATATCCATGCCTAAAAATAAGCAATTGTTGTCAGATGAACAAGATCTTGAAGTCTTGCTAATTTTAATTCTTGAATACGTTTTGTAATAGAATATTTTTAAAGCCCTGTGATTTTGTATTATTTGCCCTACGTGCATCATCAGCTGTAGATGAAAATTGCATCGCTTGTCCCAGCATGAGCACTGGGTAACAAAGCAGATAATGGCTAGGAAGAAACAGATAAATTTTCCTTGTTCATTAAGATTGCTTTGTACTGCATCCAGCAGTTGAAGAAAATCAAAGGGAGTGTCACTGTTGTTATTTCACAGATGGAGAGCAAAGAAGTTAAATTGGTTGAACTCCAGTCTCTTGATACTCAGCACTTCCCTTGTACTTTATCTATTGTTGTAGTTATATTTCAAACCCAGAATGATTTTTACTTGCTTTTTGGTTGGGTTTTTTTTTCACTGTAAGATCCTATAGTCAAAAGCAGAGAGCCTTATGCCTCTCCTAATGCTCTCATTCCCTGGCATAGAAGTGGGAGGATGGAGGGAATCAGCAGCCTTGCCTGAGGATTTCAGCCCCTACCATGGTGCTGGTTATGGGCAGAACTGCTCGCTGGGGCAAGAGCTGGGAGGGCAGTACCTGATGGTCCTACAGACCTGCTGTGCACAGGAAAAAAAGATCATCATGGGAGATGGAGCCATACTGACCTTGCTTTTTCCATATCTTGTTGCTTCGTTGCAGTATGGAAATGTGTGACCAGAGAAACAACATCACCATGTGTCCTTTATGTGACAGAACGTGCAGTTACTGGAAGATGAGCTCTGCTTGTGCAACTGCTCGAGCCAGTCATCTCTTTGATAACCCTGCAACTGTCTTCTTCTCAGTCTTCATGGCTCTCTGGGGTAAGAAGATACACGCCTTCATCTTAAGTTTTTAATTATTTAAAATACAACAGGAAGAAACAGAAGAGATAAAGCAGTGTATTTATACTCCGCAGTTAATTATATAAAGAACTTCTCTCTTTTTTAGTTCATTCCCATGAAACTGTCACCTCCAAATTTATATTCTGGACCGAATGCTAACATTCAAAAAGTTGCTCAAGATGAATATCAAATGAAATTGTTCAGCATCTGTCATAAAACTGCCGTGTGGCATGTCAAAATTTCATTAACAGGATTGCTCAGCTTGCCAAAAGGGGAAGAAAAAAAGAAATCTATTTGCAGCGCCAGCTTCCACTTTAGAACATTAGAGAAGAAATGTTGTAATGTTCTCTGGGGTTGAGGGGAGGACTCCGCAGGGAAGCATAATGGCCTTTAGTGTCTCAGGACAAACCAACATTGATTCTTGAGTGTGCTCTGAGATGCAATTAAGTTTATCAGCAGGCAGACCTCGTGCGTGCAGACCGTGAAGTGGGAGCGGTGGCGTTAGAGGTGCGTTTGCTGATGCCGAGTGCCCTTGGACTTGGAGCACGTCACTGCACCTTTCTTGGCATGTCTGGAGAACCTGGTTCAAAAAATATTAACCCCCTCATCTTTGTGAGAGTGTCTTCAGGAATGGTTACTGAGGGGTTTTCTCCTCCCTGCTGGAGGGGAGGGATAGGGACCTACTTGCTCGGGCATCAGTTGCTAGAGGAAAGGACCTTCCAGTTGTCCTCACTGGGGTCCAAGAGGGCCTGCTAAGGTAGTGGGAGCTGGTGGGGTCCAAACCCCACGTTTGTAACTGGGAGTCCTACACAGAGAAGCTACAGAAAATAGGGAAATGTGTGTTATTCCCCCCAGCTTTGAAGTTTGAGAGCCACATACTCCCAGCATCAGTGAGAGCAGTATAAGGTGATGTTTGCCCTTGCTGTGTACACCTTCTTGTGAGTTAGCAAAGAAACTGTTTTGGATTATATTTAACCCTGAAAACATAGGTGAAGTTTTCATTTGTTCTAGTACATAGGAAGCTGCTTTTACATCACCATTCATCTGAACTGATTTTAGTACAATTCAACATAATTCAATTTAAAGCAGTGTCTTTTTGAGCAAGGTCTCCCTGTACAAAATCAGACTTCATATCTGAGATAGTTTTGGAGCGGGATGTGAAATTTCTCAAGTTCATCAAGGTCAACAGTGAATGTTATTGTGGTACAATACCATATAAAAGAAATGTTTTTTGAAAAGGTCTTTTTGAACTGAGAAACTCAGAATTTTTCCATGTTTATTTTCTTGCAAATTTCATTTCTGAAGAATGTATCAAACTGATTTTTTAAAAAATGAAACAAGTGCTTTTATTTTTTAAGGAACTAGTATTAAGAAAAACTATCTGTCTCTGCACATAAGAAGTGTTACTAGCTTCATGTACTGTTGAAGAGTTGAAGCAGAGATGCCAATTTTTTTCCTTTGTATCATGGAGGTATTTGTAGCCCCCTGGAGAAATCCAGAGGGTCGAGGCTGCCCCATCCCTGGAAGTGTTGAAGGGCAGGCTGGATGGGTCTTGGGAGCAACCTGGTCTGGTGGGAAGTGTCCCTGTCCATGCAGGGGGGTTGGAACTAGATGGTCTTTAAGGTGCCTTCCATGATTCTGTGAACTCCACTCAGGAGCATTAAAACAAGCTATAGCACTGAGCAGGGCCCCAGTCAGAAGTTCAGCATTGAACATGGACTGTGGCCCAGTGTTGTGTGGTATTAAATGGCATTAAAAATGTCAGAGAATCCAGATAAGCTCACCCAGACAGTAACCTTTGGGAATTTTTAACCTCCACTTATGCTTATGGGCCTGGATGAGATACAGAAATGCAGGTGGGCTTGGCAGAACAGGGCTGCGTTGCTACCTGGCACTTTCACCCAGGGCTTTTGCAATGAGCTGGCTGAGTTTCAGATGCAGCTTCTTCATTTTGCACTGTTGTAAGTCAGTGCCATGGCAGGATTTCTAGTAGCACTTAAAATTGATGCCTCATTGTTCTTCTGTGTTTTTCACTGTACATGGAAGCTGCAGAGCCTGGTGTGAGAACTGCTGGTGGCAGGGAAGAGGGGAGGCTATGCCAGGGTCATGACACATACCCTCTTAAGATACAGATGTGGCCATCCAGATTTATAGGAGTCCTATGGCTTGTAAAGGAGCTCAGTTTTATCTTTTGCATGTGAGAGTTTTGTTTGGAAGGCAAATGAATGTCATGGCCCTAGGCTGGTTCCACTCAAGAGGGTGTCCTTTCCTCTCTATTCAACTCCTTTCCCCTCTCCCTGCCTCTGGTTTTTCTGGATACGAATGTTTCTGAGCACATCTGTTAATACTCACTGAGGAGAACTCCCCTGGGAACACCATTTCTTGGTAGACTTGCCTCTTTCATAACCACTTATTTATTAAACAGCACTGGTGTATTCCCAGCATCTAAATATGTCCTCTGAGAACTCACTCAGTCTCAAGCAGACACACTGATATAGACCTGTCATTGGGACTCAAGAACTGCTTCAACGAGGTTTCTTTTCTCTAAGCCTCCTCCATCGAAAAGCGAATGGCAGTGTCTGTACTGATCAAAACCCTTAAAGGCTTCCTCTTTAACAGTCTGCCCACCTGCAGCTTTCACACTGGCATGAGCTTTTGGGTTTGGTTGGAGCTAAAGATACTATTGCAATCCCTAGAGAGACATAATTATAACACAATTTAAAAGCTTGTCTTGATGTATTTGAGGAAATAACTATACCATCAGTACAAGGCTCATTAAATCATTCCTGTTTTGTATAGATAAAACACAGGTTTGTGTGGACTTGGGGATGGAATCATGTGCAGGTGAAGACCAACAATATTGTTAGTCGCACATACAAGTAGAAATTTGCATGTGTGACTTTCTTACACCCCTTAAAAATCATAAGCATCTTTCTACATGAAACTGTGGATGTAAGAAATGCCCTTCCTTCGAGCTTGCCTGCATAAAAAGCTTGGCTCCTAGCACTGTTCCTTGGAATTCCCAGATTGACGTGGCTGTCAGATAAAAGAGTAACAAAAGGGAAGTTAACTGGTGTATATCAACAATAACTGTCATTTCAGCTGCCACCTTTATGGAGCACTGGAAGAGAAAACAGATGCGTCTCAACTACAGGTGGGACCTGACTGGGTTTGAAGAGGAGGAGGTTTGTCCCTTCAGTTCTGGCTCTTTGATTTCCACTGTGGTGTTACAATAATAGCTCCTTGCCCCAAGCCTAGAGACATTGACTCATGGGGAACTCCTCTTGGGGTGGATCTGTCATGTAGAAGAAAGGAAAATCCTATGCATGAACTAGTTGAGATTTTTATAGCAAGGGTATGACTAGTACCTCTTGTTGCCATGGCAACATAATTGTATATAGCCTCAGAATGTCATTTTACTTGAAGTGTGTAGTCGGGTCACACCTAGCAGTGTAGGCATGGAACATACAGCTCAGATGTTTCTCCTGGGCTGATGTCAGGGTGCTAACAACCAAGGACCTCATTCATCTCCCACTGCTGTAAATCAGAAACAAATGTATTGAAGTTGATAAAGTTACAGCATTGTAAAAAAGAAAAAAAAAGAAAAAGCACCAAAAAATTCCTATTAACTTTAACGATCCAGGATCAAGCCCTGACTTGGAAAATACCTAAGACAATAATACCAGACATGTGGGGTTGGGGCACTGGGAGGGACATAGTGTGGAGGTGTATTTTATTTTTTCATTTGCTAAAAAAAAATTTTAAAAAATCATCTCCCTAGCCAGGTTTAAACTGAATGTGCTAAATAACATGAAAGGGAAAAGGGCCAAATCTGGATGAAAAAAGGTCTTAAAAATCAATGACATTTTAGAAGGAAAGGAGGCAAAATCCTCAGCCAGCTGAAAAGCTGCATCCCACCTTTTTTTTTTTTTAAATTTTGTGGCTTTCCAAGACCTTCCTAGACAGTCCCAGCAGGTCCCTTCCATTTTTCCATGGTAGGTGATGAGCTGTGCTGCCAGCACCTCCCTGCAGGATCCCAGCTGGGACCCATGGGCTCTACAGGGGTTCACCACCTTGTCTGCTGGCCTGCCAGCTTGTTTTGTTTTCATGTTGTTGTTATTAAAAGAAGTATGACCACCCTTGTCATAGCTCTAGATGTTCTAAATAGATACACAACAAATACTGCTCATGGGAAACAAAATCCTCCCCAGCCCAGTGGGTTTCACACTATGCAGCTGGATGAGCCTGGCACAGTTAGTGTTTCCCTCACCCCCAAAATCTTTCTGCTTGAATGATCTCCTCTTAATATGTTTATCTCCTCCATAACATAGTTAGGTGCACTGTGTCAGCAGCCTCTATGCCATGTGCTTTGCTAGATCATACCTGTTTTACTGGGAGAGAATAAAGGGATTTATTTCCTGGATACTATACTGCTCTTCTATTTTTGGTAGCTCATTGTTAGCCTACATAAAAGTAGAAGGGATTAACTGTATCTTTCCAATGTCTGTTCCCTTCATGTCAGAGTTCAGAGCCCTACACAGCTAAACCAGCGGCTGCTAATACAGTATAGTTTATTCTTTGTTTTGTATTGTCAAGTCTAGATAATGCAGTCATGAGTTTGGCAAAGAATTTAAGCTCCTCCTCTTTCTGATTTGGCTGGAACTAGTATCATGTTCAGGAGTCGGGGTTTCAAGTGATACACTGAAAGTCAGTGTCTCATCTTCTGGTGTTTTTAGTGACCCCTAGTTCATCCAGTGCTTACAGGAATGTTCATGGATGTTGTAGAGCATGAGTAGACTTATTTTTCTCTGGTAGTCTCTAGCCATCCACTGTACCTATGCCTGTTTCATGTAAGATTTAAAATATAAATCCAATATGATCTGCAACAGTTCAGTAATCAAATTTTTGTTTTTGTTTTTGTTTTCTTGTTTTTCGTGGGTTTTTTTCTGGTTTCCTGAAGGAGGCAGTCAAGGTTTGGAAAACTTTTTTTTTTTAATTGCTCTTACCTTTTTTATTACATGTCTACTGATGTCATCTTTTGATCTCCACCTCTTCTTTTTTTGAGCATCAGATTTTCTTTCGATCTCCCTCTGATTCCTTTGCCGTTACACCATCTCTCTCTCTGCTCGTTCAGACTTTTTCCAGCTCCCTTCCGTTTCCCATCCGATGCATAACTGTGAATTCCGCCTCTTTTGTGAATGCATAATGATCATGAATTCCAAATCCATGAATCTTGCTGAATCTTTTGGCTGTCTTTTCATTCCGAGTGTCTCCTACACCCTCTCCTTCAACGCACACGGGGAACGGGTGGATGCTGTCCAAGACAGGATTAAGAGGATACCCCAACTGAGGATTTTCTGGGATCCCAAAGTATTTTCCATGCTGACAGCAGTTAACTGTTTCCCCCGTGAGCTGAGGATTGCTGAAATGACAGCTAATGACATGCAAAATCTAATTTTTATCAAAGAGATAGGCAATTAAAATCCAAGCATCATGTCACATGGTATGAGCCACGCTGTCTGCAGGTTGTGCTCTGTTCTCTGATGTATTAAATTCAATCCAGGTAGCATTGCAAGGGGCTGGCTGATTGGGAGTGCAGGTTGTTCTGCAGTTGCTGCTGTAGAACTGGAATGATACCTGATTTAACATGTTTCTAATTACAGCCAACTATTGATTGACGTGAATGACCTACTGAGTGAATTAAAATACAGTTAGAAAACTTGGAAGTGACCAGTAAATCGACCTGCAAACAGTTTGTATGTAGCTGATATAGAAAATACATAATTTTGCTTTCTATTAAACCTGACTTATTTCACAGGATCATCCAAGAGCTGAATATGAAGCTAAAGTTTTAAAAAAATCACTGAGAAAAGAACACAAACATAAAGAGGTATGGTAAAAATTTCCATTTGTTCCACTTGCAAAAAAAAGTTGAAAGAGAAGGTTGTTCTAGCAGGCACTGACCCAAGCCTAAGAAATAGGTAAAAAATAGAGTCACTACACATTGTGTTTAAATACCAGATGTCTTCAGTCCTAGCATACATGGGCCATTTGGTGTATGACAGTGCAGAAGACCTGATTAAGTCTAAAAATGTCTTTAACCATTAGACATAGGAGTGAGGCTTAGGAAAGCTCCCTGAGCCTGACTGAAGGGCTGGTCCTGTTAGGCTAATGAGTCAAGTTTGAGAAAATTGCAACAACTTTGTGCTAGTGTAAATACTTGTGGCCTCTCAGGAGAGGTTCTCTGCCTTACTAGAATTTTTTGGTAAGTAAAAATAATACTAGAGAATTAATGAAGAGTACTAACACCAATTTCTGTGCCTAATTCCAGCTTTGATAATCACTTTCTGCCTTATTAAAAACATAACTTCCATTTTAATGCACTGGATAAGGCAGCGTTCACTTCTGCTTTTAACTTGCTCTTGACATCACACTTATTGCTCTGATACTTAAGTACCATTGGGCTCCTCTTAAAAGATGCTCCAAAGCTGATTGTGAGATGTTCCCATTAATCCATAGGATGTGGTGTGTAGGTGGTTCAGCATTGTGTGCAATAACTTAGTCACAGCAGGGTTTAAAATCCCTGGCGGAAGGAAAAGCATTTGTCTTGCTGCCCTCTTATCAGCTGGATAAACCATGTTGGTATCCAGACCTCATTAAATTTTGCTGAAAACCTGCAACTCACTGGACTTTTGGGTATATTAGGAATTCAGATCCTAAATGTGGAAGACTGTAGGGTCTTATTAATGAATGGTGGCCTCAAAATATCAGAGTATGAGAGCTGAGCAATTAAGAGAGTTTTTTTTGTTGTTGTTGTTGTTTTTTAACCAGACTATTTATAACTTTTTGGGCTGTGTTCAATTTGGATGTTACTAATTTGGGAAACGTGAGAAAAGGAGGTTTTTCTGAAAGACTCAGTAATTATCTTTCCTTGGGATCTGGAGTGTTAAAAGTTCAAATTCAACAGTTGTAAGACAACTTGGAAATATTAATAAAGAAAAAGTATCTAAAGCTAAACCAGAAATTGCTCATATTTGTCAAGAGAAGTCCATTTGAAAAAATACTTTTTTAAAGGAAAATATTTTTGGAACATTCTTATACATCATAAAGGGAATTTTAAAAAATGGGAAAACCCTTTGCAGGGTTGCTTGATCTACCCCAGAATTTGGGGTGTTTTTAGAATTTTGTCTTTTGTTATGTTTTATTTACCTAGAGCTGCAACACAAAGCCTTAAGCAAACTACTAGAGCATCCACTTGTGGCTAAACTGCTGGCTATGCTGAGTCAGTGGAGAGGGTAGAGATGAATTTAGCAGTGCTGTGTAATCCTGTGTTGCCTGCTCCTTTTTCTGTTCCCTTTGGCTGCCGTCAGAAGCGTCGGTATTTTCCAGAAGAGACAGCAAACAGATGGAGACAAAGAGTTAAGACAGTCGTGGCTGGGGTTAAATTGGTTCTTTTTATTCAAACTTATGAAGAAACTCAAATTATGAGTAATTATGGAAGACACAAATCAGTTTGGTTTTGGCTGTTGAACCTTTGTTTAATATTGACATCCAGTTCTGGGTTTCTTCCCCTTCCTGCCCTTGTTTCCTCAGCACTCTTTGGGATGCTGTTCCTATGCACTGGAAATGGCACTGCATGGCTAATCTTAGATGTAACCCCCTGGGCTGATGGAACTTTTTGCAGTGGAGCATAGGTTGAAAGAGCTGCTTGCACTTCCCCAAGCCAACGTGCATGTAATAAAAATGGCATTTGAGTAACAGTTTTCCCTTCGCTTTATCGCCTGCGTCATCCACCAGGATGTTCCTTTTGCTGTTTATTTTCTGGTGTTTAGAAACAATTCCCGGCTTCAAAGTTTATGAAGGACTCAAGATGAGCAACACTGCTCTAAATGATATTTTCATACCCCAAATCAGGCTGTGGCTGGTTGACTGGATTTAGGGTAGCCTAGAAAGAGCTGTTATACATGTGCATTTAACTCCTATTGGTGCGGTCTGTTGAATACCACGTGGAGAGTCAAGTAGCTAAAAATTGAGGGAATTCCCAGTCTTATCTCACACCAAATCCAGACCTTGCCTAACTGTGTGTTCACCTTGGAGTTCCCCAGTAGCATGTTTAATCCCTGCTTCAATGGGACCAGCAACTACAAAGCTGCAAAAATTAACTGGGGAGGGAGAAGGGAAGAAGGAGGATTTTTCTAGGGAAAGCAAAAGAAAATATTTAACAGTAAGAGAGATCTTACTTCATGGTTTGTGACAGCCTATTTGCATGTTTCCTCCAAAAAGTATACAGAAAAATCGGGTTTATTTATACTCACAGAGGAGGTGCTTGACCAGTTCAAACCTAGATACAGAGTAAACAATTTGCCTGTGTGGAATTGTAACTGTAAACACCGTGTCCTTGCATCTTCTGACTGGTTGTGCATTTGCTAGCCTATTTTTTTTTCCTCCCCTCCCCCCCCCCTTGTTTTTGTCACGTGCAAAATCACACGCTCTGTCTTTATTGAATGTGCCCTTTTTTTTTTCTCTCCCTGAATTTTAGACAGATAAAGAGAAACTGACATGGAAGGATCGTTTTCCAGCCTATTTAACCAATTTTGTTGGCATTATCTTCATGGTAAGCATCACCAGCAAAACCTGAAATATATGTCAGTGAGTCATTGTGTGGAAGAGAAGTGATGGAAGTGTTAGTGAAGCCATGACAGACTTTATCAGGTTGATCTGGTTCAGAGTGGCTTTTCCCTAATGAAAAAAATCAAGCATTGTATTGTTTTATAATCTAAAATCTTTTCAAGAGCTTGAATTTCTACTTTGTCATCTCTTCCCAGTAAAGAAATATGAATAACTCAATAGGCTAGGGGAAAAATTAGGGCACAGAAATGGAAATTGCCATGAGCATTGATGGGATGAAAGTTAAAAAGTATGAGAAAGTCCTCTCAGAAAGTAGTCAGAAAGTAGAAAATGGCCTTGCTCTTAAACCAGACTGTTTCAAAAGAAATGGTGTGGTCAGTTGCAATCCTGATTGCAAGAGTTTTTAATAAATCAGTCAAATTACAGGTTATACCATGCGACAGGAGAATTGCAAGCAGGGAGCTTAATTCAAGAAAAAGGTAAAATAATGATGAGAAGAGCCTTTTTCTGTTTGCTGATAAAGCATCAGCATTTAAAGCTGGTTTTGAAGGAAGTAATAATAATCCAAGACATGGAACAGATGGGCAGATAGACAAAAAAAGTTTAAGCCCTTTCCAAAGGTAGAATACACCAGACTAAGTTCATATGGGGGGGAAATAGGGATTCTGTTTTGGAGTTGGTTTTTTTTAATGTATTTTTGTATTCAAAGAATGGAAATCTGGTCTTCTGAGCTGAAGAACTGGTACCTTAGGAGAATCACATTTTTAAATGATGCCACTATTGAAGCAGTACAAAACTTAGGAAGATTTTGTGCACCTTGATGTTGTCAGGAAATGTGTTGATTTAATCAGATTTAATTTCAGTTTAGGATCATGACAGCATAACAAGCCTGAGTAGGATATTTGAAGGCTTGTGTGTGAACTCAGGCTGAAATACTCCTCTCTGCTTCAACCCTGCCTTTCTTTTATAGTAAAACAAATACCATGCATAAATGCTGGTGCTGTTGGGGCAGAAAGGAAACCTATTAATACTTTTAATATAAGCAAGTAGTTTACATTTAAGTGCCTTTTAAAAATCCTTTTGCATGTGATTGTAGCATGATTGTATCAATTTTCTCATGTGATGATTGATTTATGAGCAAAAGAGGATCTTTCCCCACGGTTCACCTGAGTGATTTGAAGCCTTAATGCAGAATGGGGTGGACTGTGGATGTGGCCCAGAGATCCCATTTTTAAGGTCATTGCTAAGTCCCAAACAAAGTATTTTAAAGTGAAATCTTCCCTCAGAGGCTGTGCTGTCCTTGCTTGCAGGTTGGGCTGACGTTCGCTATCGTGTTTGGAGTCATCATCTACAGGATCTCGACTGCAGCAGCACTGGCAATCAGCTCCACTCCCTCGGGCCGCTCAAATGTCAGGGTCACTGTCACTGCCACTGCTGTCATTATCAATTTGGTTGTCATCATCATCCTGGATGAAGTCTATGGCTGCATTGCAAGGTGGCTGACTCAGATTGGTAGGTGTACAACCTCCTCTGGCACGTGCCAGAGCCATTTGGAAGGAGAGAACCCCACTTACTGGTTTTTATGATGAACTTCTAAGTGGTGAACAAGCCCAGGAGACTCAAATGTGCAGCTAAAGGTCTAAGCAGCTCCTTACAAATACAAGGGCACACGTGGAATCAGCTTTATTTTAAAAGCTTTCCTTTAGCAGTGGCAGCACCAGTCACTAATCTGGTTACAAGGGATGAGGGTACAGCAGAAATTCCTCGACTTAATCTTGAACTTGATTTCTTCTGTATCACACAATTACTATTTTTGTTTTCTGCCATTTTTTATTTGGCAGGACATGCCAAGAAATACAACACTGAGTGCAAAAAAATACTGCGGAAAAAAAAATAAAATTCATAATTTCCAAAAAGCATCAGTGACAAAAGGTCCAGAAACCTTTTCAGATAATTTTTTCTTGCCCATCTGTAAATGATTATTGTGGAGATCAGCCAGATGTGGAATGAAATTGGAATTACTCTTGTAACACATCTGAATGGTGGGATTCTCAGATTGACCACTGCCCTCAGTGAGGCCCTATTTCTTTAATATATATCTATATTGCTATAAATGTAATAGAATCATAGAATACCTAGGGGGTTTTTGTTTAAAAGATGGCTGATATTTTCCATAGTCGACATCAATAAGAGGTTGAAGTATTACAGTAATTTCTCAGCATTTCTTACCCATATCCTGTTGGTTCCAGAGGTGCCAAAAACTGACAAGAACTTTGAAGAGAATCTGATTTTAAAACCTGCTGAAGTTTGTCAATGCCTACACACCCATTTTCTACGTCGCCTTCTTCAAAGGCCGGTGAGTAAAGCAAAAGGCTGCTCAGGGTTTCAGCCTGTTGCTTACCTGACAGCTGTAACTAAGCTTAGACCATAGTTAGATGATGAAGTAAATTTCATTTGAAAACTCCTCAATATTGACCCAAAAACTCTGCAGCCCCACGGGATGAAGCAGGGACCTGATACTCTGCTGGTTCAAATTTGTTAAAGCCGTTTTGTTAGGATAACTATGTTCAGATACAATCCCCCATCAGCCTATTCACCATGGTCTATCTACTACTCTTAACTTTAATCACAGCAAGTATCATCTCTCTTCTTGCAAAAAAGCACTAGGCTGAAAGGAATACTCCGTGTGGCACCTTCTGGCTAGTGCAGCAGAGATGAGGAATATCTTGGAGGATTCCTGCCAAGATGTGCCTATAACATTGTTGGACCCACAACTTGCAGTTTTACTGAGTTATTTACCTTGCTCTTTAAAACTAAAGAAAAGATAATTATTCTCTTCTGCTTTTTCAAGGCTAAACAGTAAGTGGTCTTACTCCATGGCTTCAGTTTTACCTAAATAACTTCAGGAATCAGATATAAGAAGTATAAAGTATATATATGTTAAGTGTATAATTTCATCCTTTGTGCCCTAGATTTGTTGGACGTCCAGGAGACTACGTCTACATTTTCCATTCTTTCCGAATGGAAGAGGTAATTGCATTTTACCCTGTCAGTGATCACACTGGCTGGGAGCACCATCTGCCCCTGCCAGATGTTGTCCCCAACATCCACTTATTGTCTTGAGTCCACAACACAAGAAAGACATGGAGCTCTTGGAGCAAGTCCAGAGGAGGCCACAAAGATGATCCAAAGGCTGGAGCAGCCAGCTGGAGACAGGGTGGGAGAGTTTTGGATTCTTAGCCAGAATAGAAGGCTCTGAAGAGACCACAGAGCACTTTACAGTGCCAGAAGGGGCTGCAGAAAAGCTGGGGAGGGACTTTTTACAAGGGCATGGAGTGACAGGATGAAGGGGAACACTAAAGGGAGGGTACATTTAGATGAGATATTATCAATAATTTTTTTTCCTGTGAGGCTGATGAGACAGAGGAAGAAGTTGCCCAGAGAAGCTGTGGCTGCCCCCTCCCTGGAAATGTTCAAGGCCAGATTGGATGGGACTTTGAGCAACATGGGCTGGTGGGAGGTGTCCCTGCCCATGCAGATGATTTTTAAGGTCCCTACCAACCCAAACCATTCTTTGGTTCTACAATTCTGTTCTGACTGGTGTTTCCTCTGTCCATCCTAGTGTGCTCCAGGTGGTTGCCTAATGGAGTTGTGTATCCAGCTCAGTATTATCATGTTGGGCAAGCAGCTGATCCAGAACAATTTATTTGAGATTGGCATCCCGTAAGTAGCTGCTTTTCTTTGGTCTTTGTAACCACGTGGGTTTTAGGTTGCAACACACTGTGTATCCACTGCCCCTCGGCATGAACACAGCTTGTTGGCTTCCTGCAAGAGTTTTGCAGCAAACCTGTGTTAGCTGTGTGTTGCAAATGCCTGCATCCTTGCTGTAACTGCAGCCAGCAATGCAGATGGCTTTGAAAAGTGTTAGGCCATCTTTTGCTTTCCTACTGGGTAGCAGGAGCTGTAATAATTAACATGCTATTTAATTATAACCGTGTTTCAGTACCTGTATTTGCTTCTCCCTGATACTTTTGGCTATTGTGGCTTTTGCACAGTTTTTGTAAAAAATAGGTATGGAGCTTGTTGTGACTGTTAATAAGGAATACCTGAAAAAGCCAGGCACTGTGACTGGAGTGGCAGGTGAACTGAATCATTTCCATGTGTCCCAGGAAAATGAAGAAATTTATACGCTACTTGAAATTAAAGCGTCGACGATCTCTGGACCATGAAGAGCACCTGAAGAAAAAGCAGCGTTATGAAGTGGACTATAACCTAGAGCCTTTTGCTGGACTTACCCCTGAATATATGGAAATGAGTGAGTGAGGTGGAAAGAAGGCATTTAAAACCATAATTACTCTGATTGGGATGGTGGGCTGAGGTTTTGAACTGTCAATTCAGTGGAGTTGAGGCATAACTTGACTATTGAAGTGTGCAGTCTCATGTTTCAGCCAACCACTGGCTGCTTCAGGGATGAATTGTGCTCTCTGCTGTTCATCAGCCCTTATTTTACCACTATATTTTAGGTATTTTCTTTCCAGGCAGGTGCCACGTTGCTGTCAGGTTTCAAATGTGAATGATTAAGTGGCATAAACTTGAGATTGTGAGGCTGGGTTTTCATCAGTTGCACCTGACATTGGAAATAAATTGCTTAATTCACATTTGATAATTTCCTCTGTGTATTCTCACACCAGATCATATCTGTTTTCTGAAATCTGGACTAAATCTTCAGAGAGAGAGATGTGCCAGCTTCTAGATAGACCAGGTTGTAGTGGACAGATCACATACATTCATTTTTTCCAAATCATATGTTATGTTGAGTGAGTTACATGGAATTTAAGCACTGGATAGCAGCTCTACATGGCTGCGGCTGTACAGCTACATTTCTTTTCCTACTTTCAGTCTTGGAAAGGCTTAGAACTGTTCAACGTGATGCTGTTCGCTACAGGACAAGGCATTACTGAAGAATTTGTCTTAGAAGGGCAACTTTATTTAGTATTGTGAGGAGTGACGAGGCAAAAATAGTGGTAAAGGACAATGAAATGCCCTAATGCCCAAATGGGCTTGTTCAGCAAATGCAGAGGCCAATTAGAATATCTGATGCACTTGATGTTCAGAGCAGTCAAAACTGATTGAAATTTAATGGTACAAAATACAAGGTTGTGCTGTCAGTTCCTAAAATTAAGAAAAGATGCAGTTACTGAGATCAGCATTTGGCAGTAACAGAAGATGAGAAAGATGGGACAAGAACAGGGCCAGGTGAGCATGACATCAGTGTAATGTCCTTATCAAACAGAAGCAAAGATGATCACAGAGAATCAGCTGTGTCCTTTTCAAAGCCCACAAGTTTCTATCCTTCAGAAGGGGAAGCTTGTAGTGGGATTAGTGGCAGGTTTATGTAGAGCTAACACAGTCACTGCCACAATCCTACCCCACAAGATCACTCCTGTGCCAGCCTCCCCCATGGCAGAATTGGTTTAGGAGCTTCCCCATCCTTCTGGCTTCTCTGCCTTCCTTTTGCCAGAGGAGCAACTGGGCCTTCCATGTCCCAGTGGAGCAGCAGTCAAGTGAACTGTGCCTGGCATGGGAAATGTGATTTATGCTCCCAGCACTGCATTCTGGTTAGAATTTGGGGGGAAGGCACTGCCTGCCCTCGATCAGCACTGCCCACAGCCCCTGACATGGTTGCTTTTTCTTTTCAGTCATTCAGTTTGGGTTTGTAACTTTGTTTGTCGCGTCCTTCCCGCTGGCGCCTCTGTTCGCTTTGTTGAACAACATCATTGAAATCCGTCTGGATGCCAAGAAATTTGTTACTGAGCTGAGGAGACCAGTAGCAGTCAGAGCAAAAGATATAGGTAAGTGCACAGGGCTGTTGTTATTCTTCTTTGTTTATCCCTGGACTGATGGCAGGACATTGTTATGCTGAGTTCGTTTCATTAACAGGAAGATATTTATAGGAAAATTCAAAACATTAGGCTGTGGCTTAACTGTGAACTGTCATAACTTATGGAGCCTTTACTTTTAAAATAGGAAGGCCAGCATTTTAAAGTCAGATAAATATTTTATTAAGTAAATAATATCACTTTTCAAATCAAAATGATCAATACAACAGCGAAATATCCCGCATGGTTCTGCACACTAACAGCTCTTCTTGGCAATGCAGTTTTCTTGCAGAAGCAAAAATTTCTGCATTTAATAACTCTGGACTGGGCTGGAGAAATACACTTGGGAATAAGAGGAGACTCAAAAGTCTGTGGGTAAATGTATCCCCTTTGTTCCGACTCAGCGGGAACGTCGGAGGCTTGAAAGCTGGAACTGGACTCTGTGGTTGTCCAGTGACAGCAGAGCTGTCCTCTCCTTACCACAGGGGCTGACAGCTATGGGTGTACGTGCTGAGGAAGCTGTTTCTCCCAAATGTTGGTTACTTAACAAGTAAAAAGGACATTAAAATAATTGTCCATATTACAGAGCCAGTCAGGAGGAGCAGGGAAGTTTATGATCTGTTCCCAAACTCCGTGTCCATGGAAGCAGAGTTTTTCCTTAGGCTCAACCTTGTGCCTTAGGATCACCCCAGAGTTGAAGAACACCCCGTGTTTTGTCATGCTACTGCCTTGACCACAATGTTGCTTTTGGGGTGTTTTGTGCCTGGCTCATCTGATGCTGCAGGCTTAAGGTTGCTGCTGGAAAGGATAAGGTAGGGGGTTGTTGGCTTTTTTGGTTGTGTTTTTGGTTTTTGGAGCTTCTTGGTTTTGTTTTTGAGATGGTGTTAATTGCAATTTATTGCTGTTCAGTCCCATTCTTGTTGGGTGAAAGGACCCCAGTTCTTTCAGAGCTACCCCAAATTCAGAGACTGCAAGGTGGCCCCAGACAAACCAGACCAAGTTCTTAGGGCAGGCATCAGCAGAATCAGGAAAGGCAGAAGGTCCCACCTGCTAAAGGCAGCAAGCAGAGATCCATTCCTCCTTCCCCTGATCCTATAGTATCTATTCCTGAAGTTCAGTTCTGTGCTGTGCCTCAGCTGGCTTGTGTGTGCTGGCACAGAAAACCAAAGCTATATTAGATAAGAGTTAGTTCCCAAGCAATGGCTTCAGCCAGGTTGGAGGAATCTTCCAGGGATGTTACACTGTGCAAAGCCTTCTACATCTGCCTTCCTCTCCAGACCCAGGCTCATCAGGGCTGTAACCACATGGATTTGGAAGCAGCCTTGGATTTTTTCCATCAAGACTGGATCTTCCAGTTTGAGTACTTCAACTAAGGAGAAATTTCCAAGCTGTCACTAATGACCAGGAGACTGTTAGAGGGCCAGGCATGAGGATTCACAGTCACATACCAGCAATTTATGTAGACTTCAGAGAAGCATTTCCATGAGGAGTGAGATCTGGAGATGGGGACTTCAAGAATCATCCTCAGACTAAATCCAGAGGGGTTAAACCTAAGTCAATTTGCTTGTTAATACACAAAGTCCATGCTGAGGAAACCTGTATCTATATGGTTCCCAAATGCAAATGGAAACATCCCATCAAGTGGCTCCACTGGAGCTTTGCTTTCTGGAAACTGAGGTAGGATGATTAGTGATGAGAAGGTGTTGAAACAGATTCAGGTACTTAAAACTGGTAGAGTGGTACATTCTACACAACATGTGTGGAGGATCCAGCTCCATATCTGTAGCTTTCTTTTTTCTCCTCAAGCATTTGAGAAGTTTGAATGAAATTCCATGATGTTCTTCTTTTCTACCTATGCCAGCATTCCACTGGCTCACATTTGCCCTCCTCTTCCTCAAAGCAGCTTTTAGCTTAGATTCTAAAAAATAAATAAATAAAAGGTGCTTTGGAAGACAGAGTTGGGCTCCCTTTGCTTAGAGGTCATGAAATTAATCTCTTATGTTCTGGGTTTTTTTTATTTCAATATGACTCTAGTTCAGTCCAGCCATAAGTGCACCTAGCACTGTTAACTAAAAATGTAATTGATCTAATTTTAATGACTGCAACAGCATTTACATATTTGTCTCCTTCCTTAGGCATCTGGTATAATATCCTCAGAGGTATTGGAAAACTTGCTGTCATCATAAATGTAAGTAATTCAACATGAATACAATTTTGATTCAACAGGCTGGCTTTTCCATTCTGCTCTGTTAGTTTTATTGCAGCATAAATCCCTTAAAATCAAGTGAAAGTATGTGATTTAGAAATGTTCTGAGATTTTAGAGAACCAGATGGAGTGTTTATTTTAAAGTTGTGAGAGTAGTAGCAACAATATAAAATAAGAAGTAGTTGTTGCAGCTTTTTTCCAGGATGGTTTCATAAAACAGTTTTGCCCTTCAAGCAAGACCACAGCTGCTTGCTTTGGTCCTTTTGAAATGCTGCCACTAAGGTGTTGTATTTTTTAATTTCAGGGCTAAAACTATTTAGGGTCAGAATTCACTGGATGTGAATTCTGTGTTGAAAACCTGGCCTCAAACTGTGTTGCTCTCACACAGACACCTCTGAAAAATCCATGAAAAGATTTTTTTGTTCACCTCCACAGTGAACATCCCAGTCCTTAGACAATTATAGCACACCTTAATAAATCCATTTATGTACTAATCTAATATTCTGTGACTAGACATCCACACTGGTGATCTTCACTGCATCCCAGCTGGATGAGATGGAAAATAAATCTGATTGACAAGCTGGAAACATGTTTATAGTGCAGCAAAACAGGGGCCATGTAGAACTGATGGCCAAGTGCCTGTGGGCCCTCTTGGGTTCTTTCACCATTATCCAGACTGGAAATCCCTTCACTTTGCCCCAGCTGTCTCTTGTGCTATTGCCAAACCATTTTTTTGGTTATTTGCTGTGCTGCCCTAGTTTGTCTTTACCATTTCTCCTCTTTTCCTTTGGAAACAATGTCTCTGTTTCTTTCCTCTTTTCTTCGATGTAGTCTCTCTGCATCATAATCAGTGTTGTTTTTCCCTCACTGATCTATGCACTACCCCTCTTTATCATGAAATAAGTAAAACATTTTGTACTGTGTTTGTTCCCCATGTACATGAGATTTATACCCGTGAGAATGTTTCATAATAATGATAAATGAGAAAGGCTGAAGTTAGGAAGAACGCAGCTGAATTGGCTGTCTTGCATTTTCTCTGTGATGTTTTTAGAAAGCCTCTTTAAATAAGCAAATAAAATGCAATTTCTGTGACCACAAAAATAAAACTGGGCTTAGTCTGCTCATCCTTTCATCTTGGAGTTGAGATTCTCTTAATTCTCCATGCACAGTGAATGGCCTTTTGCAATGCAAAGGGAATTTGCAGAGTCGATTCACTGTTGGTTGTTTGCAGAACAGAAGAGTGCTTGGAAGTCCATCAGTTGGACCTTAGACAATGCCCCAGGGACAAGCTGGGGATGGGGGAGCAGCACCATGTTTTGCTTTCCTCTGGTGCTGGGGGGGGGTGGGGTACAGCTGCTGCACTCTCTGGGGAGTTCAAGTGGTGACCCACATAGATATCTCATTTGGCATGGGACTTGTCCATCTGATATTCTGCAGCTCGGAAGAGTTGCAATAATACTCCCTGTTCCAGCAGTGAATACTCTATTTCTAGGGCCCTGTGGGCTGCAGTCTCCCCCCACCCCTTGTTTTCTGAGGCAGTCCCTGAGTCGGGCAAGTCATTTGGGCAGGACTTAACTTGAGGATATGATTGACTGAACCTGAGGATTGTGCTCACTCTTTGCTCTTGTGGCTTAGGCATTTGTGATCTCATTCACATCCGACTTCATTCCACGCCTCGTGTACCTGTACATGTACAGTGAGAATGGCACCATGCATGGCTTCGTCAACCATACCCTGTCCTCTTTTAATGTCAGCGATTTTCAAGCAGGAACAGCTCCAAACGACCCCCTGGATCTTGGCTACGAGGTTCAGATATGCAGGTACTTTCTTGAACAACACCTAATTTTAAGTATTGTCACAGCTGACTAAGAATGGGGCAATTTTTTACATTCCTGGGGCAGGTCCCTTGTATTTTCACTACCTTTTTAGCTCCTTGGTAGCTTTTTATATCGGGTGGATCCATTGCCTTGAACGTCTCAGCTTCCATATTAAGCAACCACATTGCTTGGATGTGGAGCTTCTTTTGGAAAATGGAGATTAGAATTGTTAAATGCAGTGTCTGTCTGTGCAAAGGTTTTTATTGTTATCTCAGAGTCATAGAATGGTTTGGGCTGGAAGGGACTTTAAAGACCATCTAGTTCCAACCCCCCTGCATGGGCAGGGACACCTCCCACCAGCCCAGGCTGCTCCACCCCATCCACCCTGCCCTTCAACACTGCCAGGGATGGGGCAGCCACAGGTTCCCTGGGCAACCTGGGCCAATGTCTCACCACCCTCACACTAAAGAATTTCTTCCTAATTATTACATGTTTCCTTTGTCAGGAAAGGAGATGATCAACAGCACAATGATGCTTTAAGGGAACAAAATGTTCCTCTGCTGTCCTGTCGTTGCATCCCATGCTATTGATACAATGCCCATCACTTCACAGTACACCTCTTTTTTGACCAGTTTCTTTAGCAGTTCCTGATTAAACTAACAGCATCCTTATCTGCACTGGAACTTAAGACCCACTGAAAGTGCCATTGCACAGGAAGCCTTCATGCCTGTAACTATTTCTATATATCATTTGCATTTTTAAAGGAAAATGATGGTTGCATATTTGAGCTTATGAAGCAATCTAGGTCAGTGCTGAAGTCCCAGGCTTCCTTAGATATGTATCAGCTTCAAAACAAATATTTTGACACTTAGAATTGGGGACCAAAGCCAAATATAACAGGAAAAGCTTTCAGAGCAGCAGAACTGAAAAGGGGGGGCAATGGAGGTAAGAAGGGGAAGAGGAGAACCAGGAGGGAAGAGACATTCCAGGGGAGAAAAAGAGAGATTGTTTTGATATACATACTAAAATATTACACCAACTGACCAGGGAAAAAACAACCCTTTTAAACTGCATTATAATAATAATAATAATTATTATTATTATTATTTAATTGATATTTATAAATTTGAATAGTGCAAGTTAATCTGCTGAAATGACTGCTAAACAGAAAGTCACTCTGAGATTACAGAAAAAAAGCAGCCAAAATTACATCTATTTTAGCTTTGCTTGCTCCTACTTTCTCCTGGTTTCCTTCTGGTGATCTCTGGGCACCAGATAAAGGAGGTTGGCAAACGTGGTTTTAGCAAAGAACTTCCAGAATGGAAGTGTTGATCCAATGAAAAAATACCAGGCTTATTTGCTTTCTTCTTCCCATCCCAACACATCTTCCAGGAATTTTTAAATCATTTGAAAATATGCAGCCCTAAGTCTGTCAAAACACTGAGAGGATGCTGTGCTTTTAAATGCAATGTATTTTTCCTTCTCTAATTTCTAACGAGCTGTTGTTGATTAGCTCATAGGTTTTCTGTAGGCCACAGCTAAGGGAAAATCTCACCTCTCTCTGTAGGGCAAAATTTAGCTCTGACCTTCTGCTAATCATGAACAAGGAGAACATCACATTGCACAAAACACTATGGATCTGAGATCAGTATTTTTGTCTTTAAAATGAGTCTGAAAAACATACTTTTAAAATCCAATCTTCAAAGAAACTAAATCACCTGAGCTATGTAGCTGGCTCCATCTTTATGCAGAATTGAAATTATTGGTACTACTCAGGGGGTGCTGAGATGGAAGACCTTGAATTTTGAGTAAAACTCAAAGGCTTGTGGGAGGCTTTCAGCTATGTCTTGTTTCTGAGAGGTCAAAACCACCTTGTGCTGTAATAGTGAACTTGCTTTTAGATGGTTGGTTTGTCTGTTTGGTGTTAATTCCTCAGGGTGCTAAAATTCCCCAGGGTCATTGCTGATAATCATTGAGTCTTGTTTTGCAGATACAAAGATTATCGAGAACCCCCCTGGTCTGAAAACAAATATGACATTTCAAAGGATTTCTGGGCTGTCCTAGCAGCAAGATTAGCATTTGTGATAGTTTTCCAGGTAGGTTTTACTGCAGGCATTTTTTATATGAGAAAGAAAAAGAGTTCTTGTATTTCTTCAGCCACATATGTTAAACCACCTTTGGAAAAAAAGGTATTAGGCCAAAGTAAATACCTTCTTTCTCAGCTGTTCCATGGAAGAGTGAAGAAATTTGCCCATTCTCATTCACCCTTTTCCTCCCACCCACCCAGGACCAGATACATCCCCAGTGGAAAAATTTATCCCCAGGGATTCCCTGAATGAATTTGATTTGATGCAGAAGCAACTTAATGACTTTAGTGAGCAGCAAAGCACAAGGCTGATACCAGTGAGGTCCCACCAGTTGCTCCAGTAGGACATCGACAAATCCACAGTACAGATTTCATCCTAACTCATTTCTAGACCTGGCAAAGAAATGAAATTCCCCAAATTTTCCAGTTAAGAGTTTATCCCATATCTGAACAAGAAGGCAAAATCTTATGATTTTTCACTAATTGACATGATTTGGCCACAAGAGTGAGGCTGGTTGTTACAACATAAATTATTGAAGTCTGCGTTATCTTACCAGCTTGTTCCAGCTCATTTCAAAACTGTTATTGCTTTCTCTCTTTCTCTTTCTCTTTCTCTTTCTCTCTCTTTCTCTTTCTCTTTCTCTTTCTCTCTTTCTCTTTCTCTTTCTCTTTCTCTTTCTCTTTCTCTTTCTCTTTCTCTTTCTCTTTCTCTTTCTCTTTCTCTTTCTCTTTCTCTTTCTCTTTCTCTTTCTCTTTCTCTTTCTCTTTCTCTTTCTCTTTCTCTTTCTCTTTCTCTTTCTCTTTCTCTTTCTCTTTCTCTTTCTCTTTCTCTTTCTCTTTCTCTTTCTCTTTCTCTTTCTCTTCCTCTTCCTCTTACAAAGTATGTACCCTTCTGTGGAAGACCTCCCTTTTAAAATCAGGTTTTTAAATCAGAAACACTCCATTGGAGTGTGTTTCTACCAGCTTTCATCAGTTTCCCTCCTGCTGTTTGCTTCTGCCTTCCTGATGTAAGGCTCGGAATGAGCAATGGCAACATTTCCTTTGGATTTCTAAGTGGCTGTGACAGTATTTGTACATAAACCAGGGAGCTCTGTGCCTGCCATTTTTCTCTACTTCTAGCAGGAACAAGAAGTTGAGGTGAATTTGGCTCAGGATCAGGCCTGTGACATGAAGCTGTTGAGCCCAACTCAAAACACTGTCCTTTCTTCATCCTTCTTTCCTAAGGGCACCAAAAATGGCTCCTTCTCCTCTAGTCCTCCTTCCATTCGACCTTGCTGACATTTTCTCACAATTTCATTTTCAGAACTTGGTCATGTTTATGAGTGACTTTGTTGACTGGATTATCCCAGACATTCCCAAGGACATTAGTCAGCAGATTCATAAAGAGAAAGTTCTCATGGTGGAGGTCTTCATGAGAGAAGAGCAAGGGAAGCTGCAAATGCTGGAAACCTGGAAAGACAAGGACAAGAAGAAAGGTGAAAACTGTAACAATCACAGCCCCAGACTCTCCAGGAGCCGCAGTGGGAGCTTGTCCTCCTGCCATTCCTATCCTCTTGATGTATAGATGAGGAAGGAGCTGAGGACATCAGGGCATTCCACTGACACACAAGCCATGGCGTCAAGGGCAGGACTCGATGAATGGACAACCTGGTGCATGTTGAAGGATGTGCTGCCATTTTGCTCCCATCTTTGTGAGAAATGCTCTTCTTGCAAACATGGAGGACCACGTTCTAGTTCTGATAATGTTGGGTTTTTTTCTTTTGCACAAGCAGCAATGCAGGGAATTTTTGTATTTCATCAATAGAGAACACGATTGACATCGAGTGCGTTCAGAAATGCAGGTACTTAGTACGTCTTGATAGAGATATTCTCTGAGCATTTGACCTTTTAGCCTATCCATTAACTATGTAAAGGTAAATTTTAAGGAATAATAATACTACTAAGTTGAAATGTTTTTGGAACCCCAGGCTTTGAAGGTCCTTGGGATAACTCCATCAAGTATATGCAAAATCAGCTTTAGCGTGTGCTCGAGTGTTCCTGTAGGCAGGAGAGAAACCACCCGAGCCTACGTGACTGATGTGCTTCCCAAGGTGTGAACCTGCAGGTCTGGCACAAGCAGAGCTCCCACTCAGTTGGAGACTCCACCAGGTGTGTGGGACACTAGTGGCAATTTGCTGTGTACCCCAGACCTTCCCCGGGGCACTGCTCTCTTCAGAAACATCAGGCTAGTCCATCAGGAAAAGTTGGTGGGTTTTTGTTTTTTAAATCAAAGAACGACTGATGTGGAGGAAGCTACCTCAGTGCCCCAGGCTGCACCAGCCATGTTTGAGCAGTCCCTGAGCTAGCAGCTCATGGCCAAGCAACAGCAGCACAATTTGGGAGCTCCTCCCAGCAGGTAGATGATCACGGAACATTTTGCTCAGTGCCCTGAATTAAGGAGCTCACCTAGAGCTACGGCGGCTCGCCCTGCCCGGCCTCCTACTCAGGCCTTCTTGTGGCTGAGGAAATGCCCTTTTTTCCCCCCAGGTGTGGCACATCCCCATCTCAGCTGGGTGTTTCTTGTAGCCGTCTGTCCTCTGCAGGAGGAAGGAGTCTGCTCCCCGTGGCTCCCACAGACTTTGCTGCTCGGTGGTGTTTCCCAGAGGCTGTGCCAGAGGAGCAAATCCACAGCATGTCCCACTTATGGAAGTTTTGCCTGCACTGGGGCTACAGGACCAGACCTTCAGTTAGTTACAGGACTCTTCTTTTGTCTTAAAACACTCTGCCTTTTGTACAAGGAGCTTCCTTAAAGTGTAAGTCTAAAATCCTGACTTAAGATGCCTGAATCCATCAGTTCAGATCTTATTTTAAGCGTAGTCCATTTGAGTTTTTGCTTTGTCAAATGATAAACTGCACTTCCAAATAATATTGGTGCAATTAACCTCATTTCTTTTCTTGCTCTGTCTTGTCCATGGCACTTGCATTGCAAACATAGAACTGAAACAGAAAATAAAAAGGAAAAGATTTCTTTAAAGTCTAACTACTGTATGGTTTGTTACAAAACCAAACGTCAAAAGACTGTTTTCAAAAGAAGTTGGTTATTTCTTTTTTCCTCTTCTTTTTTCTTTGCCAAACTAATTTAAAGATAAATCCTAGAACTTAAAAAAAAAAGAAAAAAAAAGAAAAGAAATACCATATTTAGCTTTTGATATATTTATTTGTTTAAAAGTATGTGATATACTTGATATTTTTCTGTAGTCTGTCCAGAGAAAGTACCAGAAAAGAAATTATGTGGAAGAAAGAAAATGGTATTAACCAAATATTCTTGAAGCTTATTTAAAATATTGATCCAACCAAAGATTTTTATTAATAAAGGGCTTATATTTTGTTAACTCTTGTTTCTGTTGTATTTTGACTTGCAGGAATGTCACTATTTTAATATTTTTTTTTTAAACTTAGGATAGCTTACTGCTGTATGGCCAAATCCTGCTGGATTTATTCCCACAGAAAGCACTATGCCTGGTAGGAAATGTTTACCAGCTCAGGCCCACTGACTGCAAAAGGACTGTGAGTGGGAATAAATGCAGCAGAATTCCACCCAGAGATCTTGCTGAAAAAGTGTTCTTCCTCTCATTCCTTGGTAGCCCAAAAGATCCAGAAGGAAGCCAAACATGAACTACCTATTCTGAAGAGAAATCTTAGGGGAGCTTCCTCGAAGGGGATTTCAACTGTAAATACTTACCTGACAGAATTCCCAACTTAATACTGACATTCCTGTAAAATGGTAGAATTATATCCTGAACAAATACTTATCAGACTTTTTCATTACTTGCTAAAATCATGGAATAGTAACAGTCGCTTCTACTTTCTTTTGTACAGTAAATTGTTTGAAATGGAATTTTGTATATATATATAAAAAATAACAACCTGTATTACTACTTAGATAACTATAAAACTCTTTCATGGAATAATTTTTTAAGAAAAGCAAATATATACTAAATCTGGTTTAGTTCTTTGGGTTTGTTTTTGTGTTGTTTTTTTCTTAGAACACTTCTTTGAAATAAATATGCCAGAGTTTCTTCTGTGGGACAGGTTTTGTTCCCTGTCCTCCTTGGACTCCCATAATGAGGAATAATTATATTGGGTTTGTTCATTTTGATGGGAAAAATGTAGCAATTCTTAAAAGAAAAAAAAAGAAGTGGTAAAACTGAAGGAATGAGACTTGGGGATTTCTTTAGCTATGTCTGAATGCAGCTCTGAAGGGAAGTAGCTCAGGAAGCAGAAAGGCTACCCAGTGTGTATTAAATTTGTACTGCCCTGTGGGACCTGGACAAGCAAAGCTGGGCTCAGAACCTGACTTGCTGCTTCCAGTTTTTTCTTCTTCTCCTGTTTAGCTGTTCTATGAGAAGGCAAATCATGACCCTTCTGACCAATTCTGCCTTTCTAGCCAGAAAATATTAATGCTCTCATGAAATTACTAAGAAGGTGGGAATTCTATTCTGAGATCATAGAATCCTAGAATGGTTTGAGTTGGAAAGGACCTTAAAGATCATCTAGATCCAACCCCCCTGCATGGGCAGGGACACCTCCCACCAGCCCAGGTTGCTCCAAGCCCCATCCAACCTGCCCTTCAACACTTCCAGGGATGGGGCAGCCACAGCTTCCCTGGGCAACCTGGGCCAATCTCTCACCACCCTCACAGCAAAGAATTTCCCCCTCATGTCTGACCTAAATCTCCCTCTTCCAGTTTTGATCCATCTCTTGTCCTCTCGCTGTGAAAACCAGAAGCAGGTAAATCACTGCCTAGTTGGTAACTCATTTGGTTTTGTCAGTTCTTCAAGGCAGACCAGTAGATAACAAGCTCATGAGGTGCCAGATGATGCCTTCCAGAAAGAGATTTGCACTGTGCTTGTGGTACTTTTCATGAAAGCTGTTTTTAATATTTATGATGCAAGTAGAAACAAGGTTTGTTTTCACCAATAGCAAATTTGAGGCAAGATTATGATAGTAAGAATTCATCGGAAGAAGTGGGGGGAGGAAAGAAAGTTAATACAGAGAGCAGGGATCCAGAAGTGACCAAGAAATGACTGAAAATACCTCAGGATAACACAGAGCTACTGTAGGGGCCTGGTTTGATGAAGGACAACAATGTTTGTGTTTGTACCAGTACAGCTGAATTCTGGATTGATTTGACAGGATCTCCATGATGTGCATTCAGGCTGTTCTTGGCATGCTCCAGCTGCACAATTGTAAGTACAAAAGCCCATTTCCCAGCCCTGCTTTGATCAAAGAGAAAATGGAAAAAAAAGTGCCAAAATGTATCAAAGTATTGATCAGAAAAATCATTATCCTGGTGTACTTGGTCCAAGAGGAAATGCAGACAATAGTAGGGAAGATTACAGCTGGCAGTGGCTGCCTGCACCACTTTTGAACCATTAGTAAAATGCAGTGTTTGCTTTTTGCTCCCCAAAGTTTGTGGCAAAGACACAACTTGGGTTGGTGCATCTGAGGAGATCATACCCACCCTGGCGTGTGGGCAGGACAAGTCTGAGTCCTCTGGGTTTCCATCTCGTTGTGTTCCTAAGATACTGTCTAACAAATATTTTGCAGTCTTAAATAGCTTAAGGGTGAGTAAGTCTCAAGTTAAGGCACAGATACATTTCTATTTTTAGACCCTCTGTGCTCTCTGGTCCTGAGCTGCTAATGATCTTTTTGGCTGTTGTGATTTCCAATAAGCAATAATGAATCAATTTGCTTTTCATCTTGTTACCTCAGGATTGTGAACTCTCCTAAATTTCATAGATCACTTGAGTGCATTTATATTTTTCATACAGGGTTTTCAGGGTAAACAACAATTTTTGCCACAGAAAAACTGTGTCTTAAATGCTATTCCATTCAAACTTGGGTTAAATTCTTTGCACATTTGAGTACTATTTATTCCATGCTCAAACACAAGATGCCATTTTTACTACAGCAGAGAAAAAAACAAAGTTATTTTTTCAACCTCCTTTTTTTTAGCCCAACAGGCCTTTCTAAAGAAGAAACTATTAATGTGGCTTCTTTTTAATTTTAAGCTGTTTCTTTAATTTTCAAATACTGTGCAAGATGCCTGATTTGAGGCCACCTGAAGCCAAAGAAGGAATTTCCTTTGATTCCCTTTGACTGCAGTGCACTTTGCATGAGACTAAGCATTGCTGATTGAGTTATTGGTTCCACTTCTAATAAAAATTAGTGCCACTCTAATTTTACAACTCAGAGTATCAGCTAAAGCCAAAATATATTAATGCAGATGAGTTGTAAAGAGTCATGGACACTGTTGTGGTAGTTCCCACTAGGTCAAGGGCTCAGAAGATCAAGGGCATGACAGAGTCATGTCAACTTAGCTACACAATGGTGAAAGTTTTGAGGTCATAGATTTCATCTTGCTTAGTAACCCCTGGGTGAGAAAATTCCTTCCCAAATGGGAAGTGTTTCTATCCTGATGCTCATAAGGAAAAGAATCAAACCACAAAATAGCTAGCAGAGTGCTTGTGCTGAACAAACTTAGACGCCAAAGGAAGTCTGGCTTTCAGAGCAAGAGTTAAATGCAGGTTAAGCAGCCTTCTGTAGAGCAGAAGAAACGGTTATTCCTTATTTTTACTTCCAAAGGAAAAAAAGAGTGGCCATCTTCTCGAGTCGAAATGTCAGAGATGGAGGCTGGGGAAAAGGTACAAATAGGGATGGGAGGAAGAAAAGGCTGATGTTCTCAGATCCAGGGCAGGTGGGAGATCCACTGCAGAAGTTGTTTTTCTGTAAAAAGAATCTCGT